GTATGCAGTAAACGTAACTTCTGTTGAACGGCGTTGGCGTGAAAGAAACGATAACAATCCGATGAAGAGTGAATAAATAATAAACAATGCTAACTTATTTTTCAATAAACTGAAAAACATTGTTATTTTTTAATGAAGATTATATTTTCTAAAAAGTTAAAAGTGAATTTAGGAGTAAATTTCTGAATTTTCAAATTTGTAGACAGCAAAACTGAAAGAAAGTTCACGAAAGTTACGTTATCTGCAAAATGCTTCGGGAATTTACTTTCAAAGTGCATTTCCTAGCAGATTTCTAATCTTATTTCTACATTTGCAATATGTGTATGTTCGTAGAAACTGTAAAAAATTAAGGAACCACTCTGATGTGCGCCCTCAAGTCGCCAAATTTCTCGCCAATCCACGCTGCCATATTACTATATAAATTTTTTGTCTACATTTCGAACTTTAAGCCTAAAATGTCTTCAAAAACGTGGTTTTCGCACGTGCAAAACCGCGTTTTGAACATACAATTTAAGCTAAAAATCCGAAACAAAAACAAAAAAATTAGATAGCAAAAACGTTAAAGTTTCTCAAAAAAAAAAAAACATGGAACACGATATGCGCCTCAAGTCGCCAAATATTTTGACAAGAATTTATAGTGAATTTAAATTATTTCACACCACCCCCCTTCGCCCACCATTCCCATCTTCGCTATTCACCTACTTGAAAGAACCATGTACGAGGCCTGTTTAACTTTAAAAAAACATCTATGAATTGCACTACTCAACAAAATAACTAAATAAATTCAAACAATTAAAAACCACAATAACGACAGAAATCATGCGAAAATGTCAATGAACAGAACATTTAAAAAATAGAACAAGAATAAGTAAAATGCACTTACCATGAATTAGTGCCGCGAACGTAATACTATCTAGGAAAATTCATACTATGTTCCAAAATGTCCCAATTCTAGGCATGCACACCCTAAAAATAATTTCCACCTTCTTTCCCCCCCAATACCCACCGTCTCTGAACAGGATGGCCATAATGATATTTCCTTTTGCCGAACTTCAACAACTGCCACCATTTTATCTTCTGAGACACAGACGCGAATCAACGAGCTCCAGCGAAAGCTTTTTCAACGTTAACAGGGTTGCAATACAACACGCAATCGCGCCAAAAACCAGCGCGGAAGACATATCGCCACATTTGGTGAAATTAGGGCGTATATCAGAGTTGTACCAATGTGGAATAATATTTTCATGAATGTAAATAGTATGAAAAGAACAATTTTAGTGTTGAATTTTGCCGAGTTTGTTTAGTTTTAAAATATGTTAACAGTTTATACACACGAAATAGGTCGCGCAAAAGACAACACAAGGCAAAATGTTGGAAAAAATACTGCAGTAGAAGAAAATGAGAAAACAAATTTCAAAACATTTTTGTTTAAAAGTATATTGATAAAAGATAAGTTAGCGGCAAAACATCACAATTTTCAAATATTATCGAATAAAATTTCACCTTTAGGGGAGAAAAGACTATAAAACTTCTGACAGCAATAAAGTTGCAGACATAATTTTTAAAATTTGAAAGAGTTCAAGATGCGTTTCCTGCTGTAATATGTAATTATCTGCATGTGTGAAAAAAATATGAAAGCCTTTTTCTCACATTATTATAAAACCAGAAAAATACGTCAAACAAATGAGACATTATGCTTTTGTAAGGCGTTTTATTTTGTACCGTGGCATTCTAAAATTGCGAAGTTTTGTCACCAGTTTATTTTCCTTTACCACCATGATTTTTTAGTGGGATATTTTAAGAACTGCAGTGTCTCCTTCCTTTGTCTACCACCACAATGTTAGTACTTTTTCCTCTCCCTGCACAACATTTCACCTGCAATATTTCTATCGCGATGTTTTCATTTTAACATGAAGCACTAATTCGTCAAGTATTGTATAATTTCACTGGAAATACTTTTTCTTAATGTTTGAATTTTTTGTCTTACACTGGTCAAAACTTTTTCGTTTATTTTGTACTCATTTATTGAAAGTCTCTTTAATCAAAACAGATTTTAATTTTGATTAAACAATCCCCGAATTTTTTTAAATACTATTTAAAGTATAATGCTTTATATTTTTGTTTTCCATTTCACTTTTTCGATTTTTTCAAAAGAAAATCATAACTTGGATATTTTCTTAAAAAGCGAAAAATGCCATGAATTTCAAAATTCATATTTTCTCTATATATATTGAGAGAGTTTATATCTAACTATTAGAGACACAAACATTGCCTTATATACTTATTAATTCCCAATTCTAAATAAGAAAAAGTGTTTTCGAATACAGGGTACTATATATCTGGGTTACACATTTTCTTAGCACTGTGACGTTTTCTCTCTACTGCCGATATTTGTTTACAAATGTATACAGTGGGTAAAAAAAAGTATTGGCAATTGCTATTTCATATTGACAAATAATAAAATGTATACAAGTTTAGCTGTGTAATAAAAAAGACATTTAGATCTATAAAAATAGTAAAAGTATTTTTATTTGCAGGTTCTAGATTTTTCTTTCGAAAAAAAATTGCATATAAAAAAAGTTTGAACTGCTATTCAAATTTTTAAATTGAGTCACGTTTCGATGATAAGAAACGCTACCGTATAAAGTCTGCAAAACTACTCCAAAAGTGTCTATGCATTATTTTGAAAATACTGCAGTAAAATGACTTCGAAATCGAAGGACTTGGACGTTAGTGTTAAAAACACGATTATTAGGCTCAGAAATGAAGGTTGAATTATCGTGGCTATAGAGTGCAGTTGAATATAAGTTTATTTACTGTCAGAAGTGTTGTACAAAAGTTCAAGGAAACAGGATCAACTGAAAATAAGACTACAAGTGGACGACCTCGAATATTTTCTACAAGAGAAGAACGTGTCATCATTAACAAGGTTAGGAAAAACCCTAAAATAAGTGCACCCCAGATAGGTAGAGATGTTGCTTTCACTTCGCAAAAGACTTTCAGTGTACAGACTGTACGGAATGTTTTACACGAGAGAAGTTATTATGGAAGGTCAGCTAGAAAGAAACCATTCATCTCGGAAATAAATAGAAAGAGGTTGATTCGCAAAACCCACGTGATTATATGAAGAGTTTGGAACAGTTATTTTTTCCGACGAATCAAAGTTAACATTCACGGCAGTGAGGGCCCCCACGAATGTGTGGAGGTGTGGTTGGTGTATTTAATTATGGCAAAGAACTAGGGCTATCTGCCTAAGGGAAGGGATGCCTTTCGGGAGGACTTTCTAAGGGAAACTGGCTCGTATACACGTTACACAGGAAAACCACGAAACCCCATGCAGCCAGCCCGTTCGCGGGATTCGAACCTCGACCGAACTACCAGTTTTCCGTCTTTCCGCTCGGCCGATGGGGGATGATAGCATGGAGGAGGCCAAATATTGATTGGAAAAGCAACATTCAACTGCTACTGTAAAAAACCTGGGAGGACGTCTAGTTTGGGGCGTCCCTGGCACTAATGAAGTTGGCAACCTGTATGTTTTATGGTATTATGACACACACGTACATACATTGACATTTTTTTGCTCCATACCTTAAAATCCGTGCCCAAAAAATATTGCCTTGTCGAACATCATTCGTTTTTCAACAAGACAATGACTCCAAGCATACAGCAAATCTCGCCCGTGAATGGCTACTCTACAGTGCTCCTCGCCAGTTAAAAACCCCACCTCAATCGTCTGACATCAATCCAATTGAAAATTTATGGCCTCTGCTAGATCTAGAAATAAGGAAACATTAAAATTTCAAGTAAAGACGACATGAAACGTTTACTCTTACAAGAGTGGCACAAAATTTCCAACAGCACAACAAAGACCTTAGTTTCCTCTATGGGAAATAGATTACAAGCTGTTATAGATGTAAAAGGTATGCATACAAAGTACTAAAAATATACCGATTTTGTTTTGCTCATAATTTTGTCAATTTCATAATTTTGCCAATACTTTTTTTATCCATAACTTTTCGATTTTTTTGTAGATTTTTGACGCTTTTTTTTTTGCTTGTTTTTTCCCCGTTGCTGCTATTCTCCTTTGTCCCCCCTTCCCCTCGCCCCTGTAAACATACTTTGTTAGCAAATATGATCATTTATAGGCAATTGCCAATCCTTTTTTTATCCACTGTATATAATTCAGTTTTGTGCAAGTTGAGCAGTAGCATCGCAACAGCGCATCAAAAGACTAAGAATGAAAACTCGACTTTAATTTTCTTCTATTTTTTTTATTGCATTTATGCATTAGGCACAACACAGAAACGGAGAGATGTCCCGTGGAACAATTTTTAATGAGCTGGCTTATATCAGACATGAGAAACAAACACGAAGTTTTCGGGTGCACATGCAAGCCAGCCCCAGCTTTTGAAAACTGATACTGATCATTTCCGAAGATTAAATTACAAGAATTTTCTCATTAGGCGCTTTTTTACACTGTTGCTTTCTTACGAGTGCTACAACCTAAGAATAATACATTCGCTAAAATTTGAAATTTGCTAAAAATTAATGCTTCCACAAACGTTCAAATGAATTAAATGAAAATGCGATCGTACAATACTACATACAGGATACATAGAATTTACTATACAGCATATTACAATACAGTATACATAAAACATTTATCCTGATTTTTCCTTTACCAAAGTGCTTAATCATGACGAAGATTAGGTGCGAAATTGGGAGAAAGTGCAGAATCCCCACTCTTGCGCGTTTTTCAATGGCAATACACGTATCCATGTACACGTCGACCTATTTCACGTAAAGAACATCCCGAATTGCAAAAAATGGCCGCCTTTGCTTTATGCATGTACACTGCTAAAGTTCTAGCTAGTAACTTCTATCGCCTTATCAAAATGTCGCCAAACTACCTGTTACCATATTCCAAAGATTAGGCCGAAAATATGTTTATACAGTGATATGATTCAGAGAACGTAACAAGAATTTCGGGTAGAACTTACTTGTGCAGGTGCCAGGCACAAAAGAAACGCTATCAATTGCAATATTGCCCAGAGAATTGGCTCCAACGACGCCTTCAAAAACCAACTAAAAATAAATTTAATCTTCAATTGAAATCTAATTAAGCCAAGTTTTCTTTAAAGGAAAATTAAAATTAGGCAATTTCTTAAATAACTGTTTTATGCCTTTTAGTTCCACTTACTTGATATGAAGTCGCTGAAGAAACAGATACTTGTGCTCTGTACCACTTGTTACCAGATTCGCCGCTGATCTCCCAGATTACTCTGTCCGGAGCCTCGTCTCCTGGAACTCTTTTTAACACACGTAAACTTCCAATTCCATTGCCGAACATATGAGTGGCAAATTTCATACACACTGGGTTGTTATCTCCTGTAAATACAATTTCCAAAAAACAAAATAAACCAACTTACTTTAATGTTTTTTTCTGAAATAATTTAAAGTAGTCTTTTAGATATTTTCAGTAACAATTTGGATATAAAAGTTCAGCTGAACTTTGGGAAGTGGCCATTACATGTTTTGCTATGCTTTTGTACACTAAAGCCTACATTTAATAATTTTATTGCATCGAATCTACTGTCTCTTATTTTAGATTACAAGTGAATCATTTCTTATGGGATTCACGATTAGGCCTTTTCAACACTAGATTTTTTTTCCACTTGTTGTAATCTCAACTATTTCTAAATGTTAGGTTAGGTTATTTAACTATGGCAAAGCCTTGAGGGCTATCTGCCTAAGGGGAGGGATGCCTTTGTGGAGGACTTTCTAAGGGAAACTGGCTCGTATACACGTTACACATGGGTAAAACCACGAAAACGGCCATGCAGCCAACCCATTTGCGGGATTCGAACCTTGGACCGAACTACCAGTGTTCAGCGACTTTACCGCTCGGCCGCTGGTGGGCCCCTATTTCTAAATAATGTCATCTGGTGTGACCGCACAGATTCTAGTGCCAGCTCTCATGAGGTTTCAGGTGGTTTTTATAGACGTCTTTTATTTCCTTTCAGAGGCAGATGTAAATGCTCCAAGTCCTTATATGCATCATAAGAGAGTGATTTTTTATTACTGAAAAACAGCTAAAACAGAAGCAAAATGCATGGTCTTTTTCTTCACTATGATTAATTAATTATGATCTCCATTGTTCAAGTCCCTGATGCAATGATTTGGTGAATATTTTCTAAAATAAAATAATTATCCCCTTTCTCTAGCAGATCTTTCAGTTCTTTGGCATCACTTACAGAAGGATTCTATCTTATCACATCAATGTTGAAGTACATTACTCAATTTCTTTTATGAAGAGAAAAATGCTAAAGCAATGCAATTATTGCTCTCATTATTACTAATGTCAAAATTACTAGGATAACACGTCCTGATTTTGGTGGGACAGTCCTGCTTTTTGGAGGACTATCCCGTGCCCCACAGATTTTTAAAAATGTCCCGCTTTTTTAGAAAACATCTGCATTTCTTATTTTAAATGTACTGTTAAAATATATTACCTATTATTTATTAATTATTATAGTAAATATAAAGAAATAAAAAATACATAAATAAAAAAAACACATAAAATGTATGCAGAGTACACTAAAATAGGCGATGTAACGAGTTAGATTTACTCGGTGGTGTTCGATCATTGTCGTTACGTCTCGTCAAGGAATATCTATTGTTAATGGAGGAACAGCTAGCATTAGCTCAAGGGCTATTTGCTTTCTACACTATAAACCAAATCAAAGTTTCAGATCAATTGATTGTACATCGTAAATGATCAAAACATTGTACGACAAAAAATTGCAGAAGCAACGACAAAAACTGAAGCAATTATTTGTAATGTTTTTTCACTATATTCGTTTTCACAATTGCAGAAACAATTGGATTTTAAATGCACATTTATATCCATATATTATGCAAACCACCACAAACATGTTCCATATATATATTCCAACCACAAAAATTTTAAATTATTTTCCCACAATTGTTAAACTTTTTGATCTAGAAACAGAAATTAAAATTAGAATATTAGATTTTATTTCACTGCCGGGTGAAACTTCAGAAATAATTTTTGATTCAATAAGTACTATTTAAAAAAATAATAATTTGAACTATAAAATCATTGCCTATTGTGAAGATAACACTAATGCAAATTTTGGTGGAAAAGCTAGAAGAAGCATCAATAACGTTTTTACGAACTTAACGAACATTTGAACCACAAAATTATTAGAGTAGCTTGTTGGAAAGAAGGAACGGAAGACCCTCAGATGTATCCCCAGGGGTGTTCTCTATCAAAATTTGGATGGCTGCAGCATTAACGTAGTGGAATTATACCTGTATTACCAACAGTTTAATTTGCATATTCCACCACATGATGAAATGATGCTTGGTAATGAATTTGGAAAGAAATGAAGGACAGAAGATATGCTTCTAGTTCCATATAATTTGATATTAGTCTAACACTGACATACAGTGTGTTCATTTTAAAGCAGATAAGAAACAAAATCATTATTTCAGTCTTGTATCTCTATTATTACAGTTGTTTTAAAGGGAGAATCAAGTAATAGAAAATAAAATAAAAAATAGAAATGCAAAACTCAAATAATGATTTTTTTAAATGATCTGTCTTATAATAAATGCACTGTGTTATGAATAACACAACATATTGCATTACACTTTACTCATATCTTATCACAAGCAACTTCAGTCCCGTCTTCTCTAGGATACTATGTTCAGCTGTTTCTTTGTAATATACATGTCAACAACCTTATATTTATGTTAGAAGATAGGGATGTAAATGTATTGATGTATGCTGAAAATTTGGTGACATGGTCTTCCATCCTCAAAAAAGGTACACAGAAATAGTTAATTAAATGATGTCATGAAGACTTGAGTACTTGGTGCCAATTAAATAACATGCATAGAAACAGAAAAGCCTGCCTGTATAACTTTTGTATTGTGTCACAAGCCTTTTGACTTGGAGTTTTATATAATAATATCCATGTGCCTCAATACTAAACTTTTAACTAAATGGGAATTGTCTTAAATAGAAATTTGTCTTGGAATTAATGGATTGGAGGAATTATCATTGAAATAATTGTTTCTAAACTTTTAACTACATGGTAATTGTCTTAAATAGGAATTGGTCTTGGAATTAATGGGTGGAGGAACTAACGTTAAAGGATAAATAATTTTTTCAATGTAATTAAACAACAGGAGTAAGGTGGGGATATGCGACTTCCACTTTATTTACAACTTACAAACCTACTTACTGTTATGAAATATTCCAGCACTCAATTAATAACTGCCTTTGAGGATTTGAAGAACAAATTGGAACAAATGCAAAATCAGATTCTTCACCTTGACTGGCATTGAAAAAAACAACCCTAAGAGTTACTTTTATACTTAACTGGACAACTGTGCATGTCTCATGAGATACAAATTTCCAACTCAAGTTTCAACAACATTCTTAGACTTTCATAGATGTCTCAGATAAACTTTGAGCCACAAAGCTTAAAATTCAGCAGGGTTTTGTTTAATTTACATTGAGGGAAAAACTCAAGGATTTTGATGATTTACTAGACTGGTGCCCTTGTGAAGATACAATAGTTGTGTTTTGATTAGCAGTGGAATATCATTGCTGGGCTGTCCACATGAGTAAGACTGGAATTTTTAATAGTCTTGATTATCTCTGCCATTCTGGCTTTATGGATAGTGATCACTTCCTTCTTTGTCCTGCTCTAACAAAGAATTCTCTACTTAAACATAATTGGGAAGCTCGAAATAACATGAGACTTTTTTCACACTATTTTAAACTTTAGTAATTTAAATTTAGCATTTTAAACTTTAGTAATTTAAATTCTGGCTTGGCTATTGAATTCTAATTTTATGCTTATATGCTATATTTTAATATTGTTTTATCACCTAAGGACAAATTTTCAAAGGTTTTTCTTTTAAGTATATAGTTTTACGAAATTTAACTCATAATATCCTAAAATATGATTTCAACTAACAAGGAATAAATAACATTTTTATGACTTGAGTATCAAGTATAATAACTGAAATTCAAATATTTCTTATTCGTAACATATTTTACTTGTATTCACTATCAAACATGCCAAACTTGAATAACACTGAATCTTGAAGGATCTTAATATCCAGTACTGTAAGCCTGAATACAGATGATACTGTAAGCAGCTTCTGTTTTATTACTTGATAAATACAAAGTTCTAAGATTGAAAACGAGGGGAAAAAAAAAAAAAAAAAAAAAAAGATTAAAAACCTAGGAATTGAAATACCACAACATATAAGGTAGAGTTAAATAAGCACGTAACTAAAAAAATAAGAAAACTGTAGCATGTTTTTCTTTAGTACTACTACTTTAATACATTTTATTACCTGTTACAACAAGTTTGATTGTTATGGCATTTGGATTTACAAAGTAGATCAGCTGATTTGCACAAACAGATGTTTGTAGTACACTTTTTTTTAACAGCTGCATTTTCTAAGTCCTTGTACCCCAACTAAAGAAATTTTTTTTTTTTTTTTTTTTTTTTTTTTTACTATTTCACATACACTTACTTCTTCTATACCAACTTCTTCAATGTTCAAAAAATTTTTCTTTACAAAAAATAAACTGCTTTCCTGTTTACAACGATTTTAATTTACCGAACTTACTATCAAAAACATAAAAACTCATCATCTTAAATATCTCTAATAACGGCTATTATTGATTTTGGATCCATTTTTGATCTATCAATATCAGGTACTTTTATTTTAACATTTTTCCAAAAGTATTTGTCCAAATGTAGGTTTCGGAAAGTTTTTAGTAGACACAGTCTTCATCTTCTTTGCCTGCTTCTGAAGTCCTTCCTTAACTGTCTCTCGAAACACTTTCACATTTTGAGTTTTCTTGATAATTGCACCCGTTGTGTCAGAGCATATATCTGGTCTCTTCATTTCAATTCAAACTTTAGTATCTGCTTCCATTGTTATGTCTGATTATTTTTCATATGCATTATTATTATCTTGCAATTCTAAATCAACTGTTGATTCGAGATTAGTTTTCCCATTTTCTGTATTAACCACACATTCATTAGTAATACATACTTATAACTTTTTTCTAAATCCTGTTCAGTGGTCATGTTACTAATCAAATTATGTGGCAAAACTGAGTTAGCAAGTCCTAGCTTCATAAGACAACTTTGCAGGACATCACAGGATAGCTTCATTAAGATGAACATTTGAATCCTTCCTGATATGCTTTGTTTTTTATTTTTGAACAAATTTTAATCCTTCTGACCAATTTCCTATCTTATTTGTTTCCAACATGTTCTCAACATCTTGGTTCACCCGTTCGACAGAACTTTGTGACTGACTGTGTCTCGGTTTTCAGTGAGCTATTTTTATATCACTCCACATTTCACATAAACTGTTTATGATTTGATTTGGTTGCAAAATTCCCTCCTATTATCAGAAGTGAAGAATGCTCAGGGCTCCAAAAGCTATGAAAATATCCAGAAAGTGATATGCTACTTCAACAATTCTTTTACTGTGTAAACTTCGGAGTAGGACAAATTGTGTAAGATGATCTTGATGCACTCAAATGAATTTCATATCATGATCAGTATTGGACTGCATATCTATTAGGTTGACTTGGCATCGAGAATTCATTTCACTATGCACAACTGATTTAATTACAATCCCATCTTTCACAGTTTTTTGTTTCTTCTGACATGGTTCGCATAGTCTTAAATATGTGAAAATAGGTTCTACTGTTACATTCTTGTACTTACGATTCAGTTCTTTAATCATGCAAGTTCTTTCACCATGGCCAATTGCAATATGAGTGCTGTGTTGAAGACTTCATCAGTTGTAACATAATATAGGATTTTGCAAATAGTGATATTATAAGTTTGTCCTTTCCTCCAATTAGAATACGACACAGCGTTTCAACCTTCTGTAATGAACTGTTTGTTTCTCCATCACATATTTCTCACTTGTTAAATAAAAGCAGTTATCAGGCTTATTTTTTACAAATTCAGACAAAATGTCATAATCTTTTTCCGCATAACATCACTCATTTCCCATCAGCAAAATAAAAAAAAGCAAAGTATGTAAAAATGGAAACAAACTTCAGGGAAAGTGCAGAATCACCCCTGCTTAGCGCATTTCTCAAAATCGCCAACTTGAAAATAACAAGTCTAAGAATTGCACAAACTCAGTGTCCATGTACACAACGACCTATTTTTGCTTAAAATAACATCAGAGAATTACACAAACTTGGCACTACGCACTCCCTTGACTTTGTCCATGTGAACATCGATAAGTGGGCGATTCTGCACTTGCGCCCAAACTTCTTCTTTTTTAGATCGTAGCTGCTTACACTTGTTTAAATTATGTCCAAGTTAGACTGCGAATGGTGCAAATAAGGAGAGGCAGGAACAGAAAAGTGTCATGACGGAATTTGTGTGCGGAGGCTTATTCAAGGTTGATTTAAATCCCTCGTTTCAGGATTTTACCAGAAGGCATTGGTAACTCCTCGGTTTTACCTCAAAGGCTGAAGTGGAATCATATTAAAGCATACTTCGAGCTTTTAACAAGCTACTTTGGTAAAAGCTAGGATTTACCAGACTTTAGGATCTTACAGTAACATATCTCCATTCATACTGCGTATAATATTTTACTCGTAAAATGTATACGATTCTCTTATATTCTTATATATATTGATTCAAATAATGAATAAAACTTAAATGCAATAATGAAAAACAAGTGCAAATGATTTTTTAAAAAGTACGTAGCTTTTTCATAATATTTATTAAATTATAAAATGAACAAATATAATTTTTTCACAATTTTTATTTATTAAATTATAAAATGAACAAATATCATTATTTCACAATTCACAAAATTACACATATATACAATAGTTAATATATATTATTAGTAATCTTCCTTTTACTTACTGTTTATTCCTAACCTATTTTTTTTTTTTTTTTTCTTTATTACAGATACTTTAATAATCCCATTAAAATATTCTCGTGCTTTCATTTTAAATGATGTTATGATCATCAGTTATGTTATGATCATGTTATCAAAAACAGCAGTAATATTAAAGAATATGAAGATTTAAAAATTATTAGAACACTGCTCGTATTTTGTTATACTTCTAACTCGGAAAAAAAAAATCTTCCGGATTCTACAATTCTGAAGTTTTAGTTACATGCTCCATTACATAACGCATTTGTAATCTAAGTTTGTTTTATTTGGTTATTAATGCAGTTATATGTAATCATGTCGAAACATTTATCAATACGTAATGGATGTAGTTTACCAAATAATTTTTTGCCATCGGTGTTTGTTTACATCATGATATTAAGGATTTTCTATAAACTAAACTTCTCGAAATTCACATAAAAAAGTGGAAAACAGCCAATTATAGTAACCCAGACAAATAGTTTGTGACGTATTGTTGCCACCAGTCACGTGAGACCCGCTAACTTCCGTAAACCGTCAGCGTTTGTAGTCGCATAATTGTAACGACTATTCAATTCACGAACAGCGATGTATCCAGCATTAGAAATTTGAAAACGGGGAAAGTGCAATACTGCTTGGTGCTTTTAAGAATTGCATATCTCTATCCTACAATGCCTATTTTCACTTAAAAAAAATCTCAGAATTGCACAAAAATGGCTTTGCGCACTCTCGACTTTATCCATGTACACATTGACTTATTTTCACTTAAAAAGTAAAAAAAAATTGACAAAAATCCAATCTTTCTTACGCTTGTAAAAAGCGCCAAACAAACGCCAACCCAAAAAAGTGGGCGATTCTTCACTTTGACCTTGAAAAGATGCTTTTCTACTGACCTGAATTTATATACATTAAATTTCATGTTTATCCAGCTGATTTCTTGCCTTCATATGCTTAATATCATGTTTAGAATGCTAAACTTTACTCAAACATGAGTACTACCACGTCTTACCTGATAATTTAGTCGTATACCGCTTGAAACCATCGCCGGTAGCACGCTTGGCGATGAAAGAGGCTCTACACAGACTGGACAACATGTAAGTCACCACTTGTAACATGATGGTGGAAAAGGTATGAGCACCTGAAAGACCTACATAAACAATGCTCAGGACACCGTGTTCCTCAATTTTTTGTACATAACGCGGAGGGGGAAATTCTCGCCGCCAAATTCCTTGGCGAATTTTTCCCTCTGCTTTCTAGCGGTGTTATAGCAAACTGGTTTACATCACGTCTATCGAATCTTGCTTCTGGTGTGCAGTAAACGCGACAAGGTCATTTTGGTCATAAAAGGGTCATTTTGGTATTGGCTATAATTTTCAAAATCGCGCTAAGGCTGCATTGTATACTAGGATTTTACCGCTCAGGATCCATTGGCCCCGAACAGATCCTCTCTTTTTTTTTTTTTTTTTTTTTTGTACAGCTTTGTCTATTACCTATCCTGGAGCTATTTCTGTATTAAGCATGCATGGCCTCCGAAGACAAAGGTCATCTTTCTCCTTCTTTTGTTCTACTTTCATAAAAGTGAAATCGCAAGCTAGTTTCCAAAATCATTTTTCACATGCAAGTCAGCGTGTTGTTCGTCAGCAAGTAATGGCCCCAATGAACGGTAAGCACTTCATGCATTGAAATATCAAGGTACTGGCCGCGATAATAGCCAAACAGTTACATTAACTATCAAGGTGCCGTCTAGGTTCACAAGAGGTTCAAAATTATTAAATAATTACCATGAAAATCACAGTAGTTTAACTTTTCCGGATTAAATACAACTTGTGGTTAAAGTGCAGAATCGCCCACTTGTTTGCTTGGCGCTTTTTACAAGAGTAAGAAAAATTGGATTTTTGTCAATTTTCTATGACTTTTTAAGTGAAAATAGGTCGATGTGTACATGGATAAAGTCAAGGGAGTGCGCAATGCCATTTTTGTGCAATTCTGAAATTTTTTTTTTAAGTGAAAAAGGGCCGATGTATGGATATCGTGTAAATGCAATTCTTAAAAACGCACCAAGGAATGGGTGATTTTGCACTTCCCCGCAACTTGTGATGATTGTTGAATAAAAGATGTATTTCGTCGTTTGATTCTTCTGTTTTAGTATCCTAAGGATACCAAGACTACTACTATCCTAGTATTTCCCCTTTTTTACTCTGTTATTACAAGTATATTTCATACTAATATTTTTCATCAGATTCTCAGTCTCAACATCCCATATAAAGTTTACCAGAGGACCGTATCGTAAATAAATACAAATTTGCATAAAAACATCCATGTAAAATTTTATCAAAATAATTACAAAAGATGATTTCAAAATTTGTTATCTAACCTTTACATCTCCTCTTCTCATGTTCACATGTGCACTTTTTACCAACTGTCACAATTACCCCCATTGTTGCTTTATTTGAATATTCATTTTATTTACATTCGTACCATGTGTCTGTGCTTACTTCTCTATAGCATACTACTTGAATGACGGTAAGTGCAGGAAATATCCCGTTAGGACTAAAACTGTCTACTCTTTTGATTGGTGCAAATCAAATTGCGATGATACCAAGCTGGCGAACTTATCGCCAACTAAAATCGCACATGAAACTAGAGGGCAATTTTTTTCCTAATATGAGATAGGACTTGCCACGGATGTGATTTCTGACAGACAGACAGACAGACAAAGTAGACAGATGTCTTGTTTTGCACCCGCTAAGTCTTTCTGCACCGATGGCCGAAAAATCAAGCATAGGTGCGAAGGAAGGTATATGAAAGAGGGCAATTTCGTATTTGAGGAGTAAAAGGAACTTCGTACATTTTTTCGAGTTCCAAAGGCCAGAAAGAAAAGATGGACAAAATAAATTTAAATAAATGGCCCAAAAATAATGGAGAGAGAAAAAAAAGGGCCTATAGAAGAAAAGGAAAAGAAGTAGAAAATATCCTAAAATACGATTGTGTCCATGAGTGTAGTTAAGGAGTTCATCTGCAAAATTAGTGTCTTTAGAAGAAGCAAACTTTAGCTAAGTTAAAAAAAAAAAAAAACAGAATGAATTCCTACATGGTAATATGTATGCCTTATCTTGAGACCTAACTAGAAAAGACATATATCATCACAGAGATGTACATATATTTTAACTAAAGTAACATTAAATATTACCGTTCCCAAAAAATTCATGTATATTTCAGAAAAACAGTAATTGACAAAATTATAAATCCATCATACACAGTGTGAGAGCATTTCAGCAAAATAAATTATACAGTTTTTTTTCTTAAATATTAGTTAAATATAAAATTAATTTATTAATTTAACCGTTGAAATTTATTATAGTACAAGTTTAACAAATTCCGTCACTGTATTTTTATTTGCTCATATTCTAAGTTTGAGACCTGAAAAAAAAAGTCGGGGATCTTGTTACAAAAAATCACAATCTATACTCATCGATGATCAAGAGATCCCCATTTTTCCCTCACAAAAATTCCTAAGCACGAAAAGGAGGGCCTCCGAAGGGGTGAGTTGCTGATCCTAGGCTCCTCTAAAAAATTTAAATAAATGGCCCAAAAATATAAGGAAAAAAAAAAAGGCCTCTAATGAAAAGGAAGAAGTAGGAATATCCTAAATACGATTGTGTCCAGAGTGTAGTTAAAGGAGAAAACTGTCTTCATTTACAATAAATAGTGTCTCACTGTGTGTTTGTGTAGTGAGTGTGTTTGGTAATGGTGAATAGATGGTGACTGGGGAAAAAACAATATTGACGGTGTTAAATGCTTCGTATCAGGTATTTAGCATGGAATATAAGTAATTGTACGCTTCATCCTGAGATATCAACAAAGGTCATCAACAAAAGTATATATTAATTTAACCAAAGTAACTTATGCTACTTTCATTCTCAACATTTTCATACTTTTTCAAAACAGCATCAGACTAACAACAAGAACCATATACAATATATACAATACAGACCACAATCGCACACACCAAAATTAATATATATATATATAATATGTGGTGTTGTGGTGTGTAAATTGTTAAACACAAATTAAACACTATTTATTAATTTAACTACATAATTTATTACAATTTTATTTTTTAACTATCATAATTTTATTACTAGTTAAATAATGTTAATAATAACCACAATGAGGCACACTGTTTATTTATATAAGCTCATACTTCTAAATTTCATTTAAGGCGGTGAAGAATAAACCATCCCTTACATATGGACATTTAACAGATAGCAAAGAACAGTATGAGAAAAAGTCGGTGAGGTATAATATTTTTTAAGGCGAAACTATATTCAAGCGATCTAGAAAGAAATGAGAATCCGAAGATCCGAGAGGGAAATAGCGCGATGCCCAAATGATCCCTCTCATCCCCAATTTTCCTCTCTCGAGATTCCTTAAGGTTTGTAAGTGTTGACACGTGAACTGATAACGCTGGCGTCTGTTGGAGTTGATCACAAAGGAAGCCACAAGCAATGGCAATTTTCAAGTATTTTTTTAATGCTTTAAACTGATGAAAATTAAGATTTATTGATTTAAATGCACTTATTTAAAGAAATTTGATTTAGTTTAGATGAAAAAAAGTACTTATCTTAAATTCCAGGCTTTTGGGTATATCCTTACATTGTCCGCTGTTTTATTCTCGTCAACATCGGAGCCGAATTCATTGGAATGATATAGGTGTTGTAGGGAAAAAAAATTTTTCAAAGAAATTTAATTGATAATCACCAAGAGGAAAGGAAATATTTTCACTTTTTTACGGAGCGCAGCGATCGTGCTGCCGCTTGCCTCGGTGATCGCAGACCATAACGTCAGATTAGTTTAAAACCTGTTACCGAACATTACTACGGTTATAATTCTTCTTTCACGGGTTTTTTTTTAAATGTTATTTATATAAAGGGGCGACTGTAATAAATCAACTTATAAAATAAAAAGTTATAAAACATTTCACATACAAAAAATTTTTTTGATTTTTCTTTACCGTACCTGCTTGTGGTAAATATTTCAAGAAAGAATGGTACAAAATTATTTATTTAATAAACAGAAAATTTGAAAAATTACAGGCATATTTTTTTTTTATATTTGTTATTTGTGCCTTAGGATAATTTTTTTTAATGCTCTAGAAGTAATTTTTATATTCTTTGGATAGTGAATGTTTATATGAAGTTAAATCCAAAAGTAATTGCCCTACTTTGTGTCATAAATGCACATCAGTTGACTTATAATGCTAATTTTGCTAAACAACGGATCAAAACGAGTAATTAGCAGTGAACTACACACACACACATAATGCTATAAAATGGTATCTAGAAGTTTCAAGAGTAGTTTGTTATTTAATACATGAACAGATCATATCACAATTTGTTTTTAAAGAAAATACGAACGTGTTTGATTAATACGAAGTCAGATCCAAAAGAAATTGCCCTACTTTCTGTTATAAATGCACATTTCTTGACTTATAATACTAATTTTGCTAAACAACAGCTCTAAATGAATAACCAGCTGTCAAATATATAAGTAAACACTGCTCTCAAACCTTTTCACTACATATTTTCCCCTCCTTCCTAGATACATAATAATACCATTTCCATTCCATTTCATTTACCGCTGTAATACTGCGTGAATTTGCAGGGTTTAATAATACATATTCATTCTTTGAATTTACTTCCTTAGCATGTTGGCGTAATAAAATATGGCTTACATGCATAAAGAAGCCAAATTGTCATCACCTAAGGCTCCTATATACCAGGCTGAATCATCAGGCA